AGAGAGTGAAGCTCGTGTAGAGGAGGTTGGGCTGTTCCTGGATCAAGCAGGAGGTGTCAAACGCCGGTGAAACCTTGGAATTCCGGCGGTGACTCAGCATGGAGAAGAGGCGACGCAATTTTTCTCAGTCTCACGTCGTCAGACCGGACGGTCCGGCTAGGCAGACCGGACGGTCTGCGTCTCCCAGACCGGACGGTCTGCTTCCCAGACCGGACGGTCTGACCAATCTTCGCCCGTTTTTCTCGCTCGTTTCGGTCCAATCCTTCGGGTCAACTTGGTTAGGTCTGATTCTATGTACGAAAATTAAGGGCTTATCGCCTAATCATCTCATTTCCATTGATCAAGCGTCGTCAATTTCGGTTTATATCTCTCTAATCCTTTTACCGAAATTCGGGGTGTTACAATTCCACCCCCCTTAAAATGAATTCGTCCTCGAATTCAGAGTAAGGTTAGTTGAATGCTTCACCTTACATTTTTCCACATAGTGTTGGAATATCCTCATTCCACCACTACGCTTCCGCTGCGCATTCCTTTTTAAGTTATGACATCCCGTCCTAATTGTTGGATGTCATTTTCTTGAAATTCCTTTACTTGTTATGTCGCTCGTGATGTGATACCGCGCGTCTAATTAGATTACAACCCAGCTCGAACTCATATATCCTTGTTGATGTGAGTCATGATATGCGCTCAGTCACATGCACTTTATAGATGAAGTCATATCTTGTTGAACCTTTGCTCATACAAGTATGATCATCGAATCCTTGGTACATATACTACTATACTCGTTTTGTCTTATGAGTTAAGTAGTATTCTCCTATTGTTCCTTGTCTTGGCAATACGCGCATGGTGGCGTATTTTCCTTATTTGGTCTGTTGATGATCAAAACAATTCAGAAGTTTATTTCTCCAGAAGGTTTTGATGTTTGACCCCTTGTAATGCCACTCACATTCGTCCTACTATGCATTAGTGGCTTCCATTGTGTCAGAGTCATTCATGGTTATATATATATTTCCTTAGGACTTACTTCCTGACATTACGTACGTCATCGATGAGAACGATAACGAGTACATTCAGACAGTCCATGAACACCTGACTTCCTGGTAACCTGAACACCACAGAGTGTAAGGGGTTGGATATTATAATCCCAATTTGCGTTCGGGGTCCATGTTACATCAGTTGACCTTAGGAAGAGATCATTCATGATGACTAGTCAGGTCTAGTGACACGCTGACGTAAGATGATATCTAATGCCCTTATGGCTTCCTATTATTTTCTTAAATTCTTGCTGGTAGACATCATTTTTCTCAGCATTTTGCAGCCAACATTGTTCCTAGGATTGCCTATATTGGAAGGTTTCTTTTTCTTCCCCTCGAGACAACCGTGGTAACTCTGGTTGTTAAATGGCGTGGTATTCCTTCATTACAACAATTTATTGCATTTTGATTTCAGTCTCCTCGATAATAAATAGTAAGACACGAGAACTTTTTCTTCGTACTGTACCATCGTTCAAATCTTAAGCTTATGTC